CCTATAAGCAATGGCCTGATGGACTGCAGCAGAGAGCACAAGCTGAACCCGCCTGGTGCTGGATTGGACTCTTCTAACATGGAATGGAAACTCTTGACACTGGCTCTGATTTTAGGCCAGTGAAGCAACATGGGACTTACTCTTTGGTGGGACAAGGGGAAATAGGACCTTGGGAACTAAGAAAATAAAGCTTTCTATAATATTTCATCCTCCCATGCAAGTTTCAAAAAATTATTTTTCTTGGGATAGCACAAGAATTTCTCTCCCATGAGCAGCAGGTGGGGATGAGGACCTCTCTCCACTGGTAACACCTCTATAGAAGGTTCGATTCAATTGGAGTTAAAATGTTCATATGAATTTTAGGATAGTGCAATGTATTCATTCCCCCAGTGAGATCCTTCATTCTATGTACCACACCCATTATCTGTAAATAAAGTGTGGCTTCCAATGCAATCAATAAGCAGTCAAGCCAGCAAATGAGGCCATCATTAAGTATTGTTTTGCTCTGCTACAGAATGAAGTCTATCAAAGAGCTGATGGAGCACAGGGACCATTTGGAAAAACTCTAAGAACACATTTACCAAAAAATACTAAATGCACATTAAGGGGAACTTGAGGATACTTTTTTTGATTGCTGGAAGGGAAACCATGCTACACATGGGGACTCAGGTGGTTAATGTACTGCACTTTATTACTACACGGTACGGACCTCAGTCTCTCAGATCCTCAGAAACCACAAAGTCAATTGATCACATAGTGCCCTACAAAATACATTTTAAGAGTAAATAAGCGAACATCTCAGATATGCTTTTAGAACTTGCCAACTCACTTGGCTTTCGAATTCTGGCTCTTTGGCTATTGTGCAAGAAATTTTACAATGTTTTTTGTTCTGTTAGATGTTCTAAACCTATCTCAAATACAATAGAGAAAATGGCAGTAAATTGAAGTAAAAAATAAACTGGTCCAACTGCAATAGTAAAACAAATTTCCTGAGTTCAGAGATGATGCAGTATATAAACTTAAAGTTCTGCAGTTAAAGCAGGCTGCTTGACATCTGAATCAATTTAATTTGAAGACAAATACCATGGTGTCTAATATATGAAATTGTTTATTTCCATTATATTTCAACTTGAAGGACATTACTTTGCATTGAAAATGCAGTCATGTTAACAAATGAGCTACTGGTTTTCATCTGTATATTAACCTGATTGTGCAGAAGAGTCTGTAAGATCCCATCTCACTCTTGCATTCACTATTCATATACTATGTTTGTAGAGTTGATTATCTGCTCATTGTAATGACTGGAGAAATACTGTGTGGTGCAACAAGACAGTGTACAAAACCACAACCTATGCTTAATGTTTATTTTTAATATATTTGTATTGATTTCAGAGAGAAAGAGAGAGGGAAAGAGAGATAAAGACATCAATGATGAGAGAGAATCATTGATTGGCTACCTCCTGCATGTATACACTGGAAATCTACTCCACAATCTGGGCATGTGCCCTGACTGGGAATTGAACTGTGACCTCCTGGTTCATAGGTCTACGATCAGCCACTGAACCACACCACTGAGCAATGTTTATTTTGATGACTTTTCTTTATTTGAGTAATTTGGAGACAGTGATTCCCTTAAGTCAGTGGTCAGCAAACTCATTAGTCAGCAGAGCCAAATATCAACAGTACAACGATTGACATTTCTTTTGAGAGCCAAATTTTTTAAACTTAAACTTCTTCTAATGCCACTTCTTCAAAATAGACTAACCCAGGACTTGGTATTTTGTGGAAGAGCCACACTCCAGGGGCCAAAGAGCCGCATGTGGCTCGAGAGCCGCAGTTTGCCGACCACTGCCTTAAGTGAAAGTGTGGGACAACTGTTGTATCTAGTATTTCCATCATTTATTTTTTATAATTAGTGCCTTGTTCTCACTGTCAGCATAGAAATTAATGCCTCATGCTTAAAATACATCTGTATCAACCACAACATAATTTCACTTAGTATGTACTTTTTCATCGTTTTTATTACAGAATGGTATATTCAAGGTTATATCAACATTTAGTTTGATGAGAAATTACTTATTTTAATTTTTTTTTTTTAGGAACTCAAGTATTAGTTTTATTTGTAGATATTTAGACCTCACAGCTTTTAGCAGCAGCTCCAATAATAATAACTAATAGTTTTTGGCCATTTCTTAAAGTTATTGAAAATAGTGTTTGACTTCTAGTAGAAGTCATTGTCCTTCTTCCTAAACAAAATCAACACTTATTTATTTAATGTTCTTACTCATTGAGAAATATAGTGAATAATATGAATTGAGGGAAGAGTTTGAAATTTTTCCAGGCTATTCCTGATCACATGAAAATAAACTGTAATCTCAATATGTGCTGTGATTATTTCTAAAAATAATTTGTACACTGATTTCTAGTTTAAAAATACCTCAATATGATTCAGTAGATACACAAGCATACATGCACACACACACACACACACACACACACACACACACATAGAAAACAAAATTTTATGAAACAATTTACTCATATGATACACTCTGATACTTTCTATTCTAATTCATTTAATTTTAGATATGTTTATTTAGATTCACTAAATCAATTTTATAACTTATTGAGTTGTGATCTGCAATAGAAAATGTTGCTTTAATCTATATCTTTAAAAACATGAGGAAGTAACTTTTACCTTAGTTTAGTATAAAGTTGTTAAAAATATAATTCTCATACAAACTGATAGTGAATGTGTGTCAAAATTGTTTTTAACGTATTAATGAGGATACTAGGAAGAACATTTTAGGGATTTATATAGTAATAATAATTGTTTCCACAAATAAGTTTGCTAAGGTGGATATAAGACTGATTAATTTCCTACAGAACAATTTAGCCATAGAAATTTTGGGGGTTAATTTATCTACCAAATTATAAAGTTATAACAATTTTTTTAATTTCTGAAGTTTAACTTAGAGAAAGTCACATAGTCCAATCAGGAGAGAGATAACATATCAGTTATTTTAACAAAAAAATAATATAAAGAAGTGCTAACTAGCCTAGAAATGTTGCTCAGTGGTTGAGCATTAATCCATGAAACCAAAGGTCTCTGTTTTAATTCCTGGTCAAGGCACATGCCTTGGTTGCCAACTCGATCCCCAGCAAGGAGGCAGCCTATCAATGTTTCTCTCCCATAGATGTTTCCGTTTCTCTATCCCTCTCCCTTCCTCTCTCTCTAAAATCAATTAAAAAACATATTTAACAAAAAAAAAGTGCTAACTAAATACAGTTATTAGCTAAATTATGCAAAGGCTAAAAGATATTGCCATGGTATAACAGAAACAGGACCCTCAGGAAACCACTACCATGCCTATCACCTGTAGAACTAAGGGACTAAATAAAGATATTAGATTCACTAAAATAAAATAAAATATTGAAGGAGCAGCTTTGGGGAAATGACCTTCACATTGGCTGGTGCTGAAGTCTATGAGGGGGATGGGATGGGATGAAATGTTGGAAGTGCTGAAAATGTTGGAAAGACTACAAACTGGGATTTTCTGCTGTTATGGATAAACACTGCTCCAACCAGAATGAAGTATGATTGGGGTAGTTCCCTAGAGCAGGAAGATGCAGAGAGGAAGTCCATTGTGGGAGCAATCCCCTCTACCCCCTTTTGCCTGGCTGCCTTTGTACAGGAGACCCCATTGGCAAGGTCTGACAGGGAGCAGCAGGTCCAACAGAAATGGAATTTGCAAAGCCCCAGCCCAGGATCACAAAGCTGACTAGAGAAGTGGGGCTGGAGCCTAGAGACAACAGCTCAAATGCCACCAACTCTAACCTTACAGAGCCATGAAGTGTTCACAGTTTTATAATCTGTGGACTATTAATCAAAAATAGCAGATTAGATCTAGTGGGTTATGAGAAGCACTCTAGCATGATATCCAGCCATCTTAATTTTCCTTTTCCTAAGTTTGGGACACTTCTATTTATCAGACATGTGTGGTTTAATTAAAAGCTGAACATAGAGTCAAACTCACTATAATATTTTGAGATTTTCCTATTAATGTAGACCATTATTCAGGACTATTATTTTAAAAGTAGATACATATTTGGCTTTTTAACTTGAAATCAATGCTTTCAAACTAAAAAGCCAAGTATGTGTCCAATTTTAAAATAAAATTGCTTGTTATGAACACAAAGATATGCCCACTTTTATGGCTCTAGAGTTCTTTTGTCCAGAATTTATTGAGTTGTTAAAAATAATCTATGGCAAATTCTTAAAAATTTTTTTTAAAAGTTACACATGTCCATAAATATTTAAATTGTATATAAAATGTTTTTAAAAGTAAAAAAAAAACACATCTCTATTTATTTACACTTCTATTTACACAAAATAGTTCATACTAGACATTCTTTCAGCTTAATTTCTTTGCTGAATATCAAATCTTGACATATAACAACAGATTGCTACTCTCCAATCTTTGTATTATCCACATTCAAATGTATGAATGCACATAATATACATTTTTTAAATTATCCTATTGATAGGAATTTAGGGTTTTTCTAACTCTGTTATGGCAATACATGATAGAACAAACATTGAAAAATCTTTACATATGATTTTATGAGAAATCTTTATATATGATTTTAAGTGCAAAATGTGTGAATGTGTGTGTGTGTGTGTATATATATATATATATATATATATATATATATATATAGAGAGAGAGAGAGAGAGAGAGAGAGAGAGAGAGAAAAGAGAGAGAGAAATACAGATAGATGATAGATGGATAGATATATATGATAGATAAGATCATATTCAAGGATACATACACAAAACTATGGAGTTAAATACTAACAATCACTGTTTTATTTAATGTTCATTAATATTTGAATCAACAGTTGATGACTTAAAACAGCATGAAAGAGAACAAAATGCAATCCTGTGTCATCTTCTTATCTTACATTTTCATCTTCCATTTTCTCTCTCTCGCATCCAGGTCCCACACCACGTGAAGCCCTTGCCGTACTACAGTTACGACCAGCCGGTGATCGGGTACTGCCAGGCTCACCAGCCTCTCCACGTCAACAAGGGCTATGAAGCCGTGTCCCTGGAGCAGGACGAAACCCCCGGCCTGGAGCTCGGCCGTGACCACAGCTTCATCGCCACCATCGCCAGGTCGGCAGCACCCACCATTTACCTGGAGAGATTAACAAACTGATGCAAAAGCAGCTCCTCACTGGGGGACTCCAAGAGCGGGAGGGAGGGTCTCCATCCTAAAGAATGGCTGTCCAACATTGCGCAACCAAGGCGGCTCTTGTTCCTGCGAGAACAGTTATGACAGATGGGAAGGGGAAAACCAAAACTGCCACCAGAGAGCACCTGCACCATAACCAGGAGAGCCACAGAACCTTCTTTGCTTTAAAACGTACCACAAACCAACCAACCAACGTGCTCCTGGATGTAAATAGTAAACGTGTTGAGTTCTTATACAAATAGATTCCATCCTAGCTACACATAGGTTTGTTTGTATATTTGCTTTTTCTACACTGCATGGTTCCTGGCCTGGAGAACCACAGGGCAGGGAGAACCTGGGGAGGGTGGGGAGTTGGGGAAACAATACCAGTTTTCCTTGTTAGGTATGTGTAACTCTTGGACTTTTTGTTTTGATTGCTTTTATTTTCTTTTCTTTTTTTCTTTTATTTTCTTTAAAAATGATGTTTGTTCTTGTCTGGTTTGTTTGATTTTTATTGTTTACCTAGCCAAGTGATACTGTTTCCACTTCTGAACATGGGCATCAGGCTTATGTTGTACCAAAAGAAAATCTGCTTTACCACAGACCACAGGTTAGCAAAGCTGGCCACCAAGTCTGACGGAGCTATTGCAATGAAGATCCAACAGAACGTGGGCAAAGAGCACTTCCTGACACCCTGACATCCGGGGCACACGGTGTGAGGAGCTCTGCTTGTTTCCTCTGGGCCGCCCTCACTGTGTGTTCTCACTGGAGGAAGTCTGAAGGAAGGATCCCTGAAGGCCTCCAAGAGAAATTACCAGCAGAAACATCCTCATGTGGACCAGGGGTCTATGAACTACCATGGTCATGTGGTCAATGAATGCAACTGCCAAGCCAACAAATTTCTAAATACAAGATAATGTCTAACATTGATTTTTTTAAATTATCAATTACTTTTTTGTGTAGTTTTATCAATAAAAGAAAAAAGAAAAGGTCCAAAAAATAAATATATTGTTCTGTGGTTGGTATGCCACAGCCCATCTAAGGTTGAGTGTTTTATCTCTATAATGTGAACTCCTTCTAGCCTGGATGAGGGCGATTCAATAAGAATGCATTGGTGTCTGTCATGTGTCTTCAGTGTTCCACCATCAGGTAGAGAGGCTCTATATAGTATAGACAATAAGTATAAGGTGTGGCTAATGCACTAACTTGTTTCACAATTATTTCTTTCCAGATGTATGATGCAATGCAAAATTATATACCATAACAAATACGAGGTGACAGTAGGTAATCATGAAAGGGTTAGAGGTTGTATGATATTCTAGAAAAGAAAGAACCGTGCGGAAATCTGTTACTATCAGAGAGAAACATAGTTATCACTCATTTTTTTAACCAGAGAGATAACTATATACATATAAGTTGAACCACTTTTACTTGAATTCCTTAGGGCTGTGATACCAGCTTTCAGTAATTCTCTGATTCACTATGGACTCATCCTAATCTAGGCACAAGTCTAATTTGTGTTCTATTTTTAAGACAAAATGAAATTACAAACTTATGTCATTCTTTGTTAGGTCAGGTTTTGCATTCTGAAAGGTGCTAAGATGGAGTCATTTGAGTGGGTTATTTGAAGAGTTAAGTTGATACCTGCCCTCCATTTAATTCCAAATTCTGCTAAAATAATAACGAAAGAGCCTTGTGAATACTTTTGTGTCAAAGTAAACTGGCATAGAGTAATAAGCATGTTTATTTTTTTCAAAAAGTCTTTCTGTTTTACTACTATTTTATATTATACTTGAATTTAAACTCTATCTCAATTGATAAAATATCATTCCATAGTAAAGAAAATTCTATAAAAGGAAGTTTTTTCACATTGGAACATAGGGGCTATTGCTGTCAAACTCTGGTTAACTTTTCTATTAACATTTACAATCAGGATTTTATTATATCTGGGTTTATGTCCTAACCATTTATGTAGAATGAATTATGAATTCACATATTCAAATAAATTTTGGCATTATAATTTTTCTATTACAAATTATTTAATAGCATTGAGGCAGAACATTTTTTAGTGTCTTCCCAAAAGACAAGGACTCCCTTCCCATCTTCTTCATCTATCCAGCATCACCCATACCACCCACTCCTGCCATAGTCAATGTTCTAGAAGGCATACTTGAAAATGTTTGATTAAAGTTGGCTTAAGTCAACTATTGATTCTATTGTTTCTTCTAAGAAAAAGAGTCCAAAATAGATAACACCCTTCATGTAATTTACAACTGCATGCTTGGCCAAAGTTGTCTCAAGTCTAACATGAAATAGTGAACTATTGCAAAACAGGTGGCATTATGAAAATGTTTTGCCCTTTGCGAATGAAAACTTTCAAAATAACTTTTTAAAGTATATCATTTACATATGCCAGAGCTAGTTTGCACTGAGTTTTAGAAATCTATTGATGATCAAACAACAACCAAGATAAATACAATAAAACCCCCAGAACAATTTTGCTTGAGGAAACTTGGGAAAGCCCTTCATGGGAAAATTCAAGCTTGATATTGTGTGAAATGTTATGCTTCATTTCAAGGCTATTCTAATTAGCCATTTGAATCTAAAATATAATTTTTATTTAAACTCTGAAAGCTATGCACATTTGGGAGTATCATGGAGTATTTATAGAGCTAAGTCATCAAAACTGTGTCTACAAGGAATTGTGAATGCGAAACATACAGATTGGAACAGTCAATTATTCAAACATTTTGATTAATTTATCTCATAAATATCCTTAGTAATGCTGAGTTTGCTTTTACTTATTTTATCATGCAATAAGGAAATATTTAAAATCAAAAGCTTGATTAATATATGTATAAATGTAACTGTGGTTTAAATGTTTATTCTATCAGAGCTCTACTTATAATATTTCATGACCTTTTAAAACTAAGGAAAAAAATAATAAGAATCATCAATTGCAGAATGCCAAAAACCCAAGTACTTTTTAAAATCAAAAGTAGACTATGTTATAACATTTCAAATAATTTCACTCATAATAAAGCCATGTGAGGGGAAGGAGGACTCTAAGAGGATGTCTTGACATATATTATTGGCTTTCATGCCACACTTATATCAATAGCTTGAATGCAAATATGGTGTCTGTACATAACAAAGTGATTCATGTCATGAGAAATGGAAGAAGATGCAACATTCCAATCTGGAAATCTTTGTATTTTATGAGCAATTCATAAGTGTGAGTTGAATTTGGGAATTTTGGTCGTCAGCTTCTTATTAATAATATAGCAAGATGACCAAAGAAAAACAAGTCATAGAAATGTCCAAAATAAAAATAAAAAAAATTATTATTTGAATTTAGCTTTACTGGTCAAACTGCACTGGGACTTCAGTATCAGAGTCATACCTCCAAGGGGAGATCTATAAGAATAGCAACCAGAATATTGGAAGTTATGCAATCTGTAGCATAGATCCCTGCTTTACAGATCCATGATTGCCACACGGTGTTGGTAATTGTTTGTTTGTTGTATAATTTATCAATTATAGTTTGCATTCAACATTATTTTGTGTTAGTTTTACGTGTACAGAATAATAGTTAGACAAACTTCTACTTTACAAAGTGTTCCCCTCAATATTCCAGGCACCCACCTGGCACTATAGTAGCTATTATAATATTGTTGACTATATTCCCTGTGCTGTATTTTATATCTCCACTAGTAGCCCTGTCCACAAATCTGTGCACCAGTAGCTTTTGTGGGGCCTGGCCACTCCATGCCTGCTGCCCAGAGGCTCTCTGCAGCCCAGAGGACCATCCACACCCTGCTGGGCACTGAAACTTGCCTTGTCACCGTGGTGACAAAGCAAGCATTTCTCCAGGCCATTCACTCTGTCTGCTCTCAGCAGCCAGCCCCCTGGGATTGGGTAACGCCAGCAGGACTGAGAGGACTGGGTGCCACCATCTCGTGGCTATGAGTGCAGCCATCTTTGTGACAGAGTGATGGTTAATTTGCATATTATCCTTTTATTAGATAGGATGACCATTTTGTATCTTCCAATTAATACTTCTAATCCCTTCACCTTTTTGATAATTGATTATTTAGTTGAGGAATGCAAAGCCCTTGGGGCAATGACCTGTCTATGTCCTTGTTAAGCTCCTCATTTCTGTGGACTTTCTAATTTCTAAAGCCTTATGGCCACCCATGAGGGCATACGTGTTGTACTCCAGGTAATAAAGCCTTTAATTGACTTCCATTCAGAAAATATAACTAGTCTAAGTTCAGAAATTCAGGTTATCTGAGCTTTATTCTCTCACCCCACGTGCATGCCTTCAGTGACAGGGCACAGCATTGTTCTTGTAATAAAATTCAGTAACTCCCTGCTGTTTTGTTCCCTGGAGAGCTGAGCTCCTCCTGCCTTGATTCATCTCTAGGATGCTGGTTCTCTTCCAAGGCTGAACACCATCTTTCTCTTGCCCATATTACCGGGCACCTGATTTCTGCCCATAAATCCCAGTCATTAGTTACCAAACCTGCTCTGCGATAGGTATAAATAATACTCTGCTCCTCAAACACCCGGTTTGCCCTGCTAGGCCAGTCTTGATTCTACTTGCAGTAACTTTCTGGCAGGTGCTCTATTCTCTTGATAGTTTGCTCTGCTGCTTAACAACTTGAGGTCCTGTCCTCTGTTGCTGAGCTTGCACTATTCTAGGAGTACAATCCAGCTTCAAAAAGGCCCGTTCTGCACATTTGAGAACTGAGTTTCCATAATAGAAGATCAGTGGTTTGGTGCTTAGACTCTCAAATGTTAGCATATACAATTACCAAAAAGGTTTTTTTTGTTTTTATTTTTTTTAATATGTGTTGGGCCCATCCTTAGTGTTTCTGTTGCAGGAGGTTTGGGGTAGAGTCTGAGAATGTTCATGTCTAGTAAGTCTCCAGGTGATGCTGATCCTTCTAGAATGTGGACCACATGTTGGAAACCATTGCCAGAATAGCTATTTATATTCCTTATAGGTCAATGACTCTGCCCAGGGACTCAAAGTTTATATTTCATATTGACAGGATTTAATGCCAAATGAAACTTTAGGATTTAATGCTAAATGAAGCTTTAAAATAAGCATTGATTAAAGATAAGTAGAAGTAGCAACCTACAGAAAAAAGAAAGACAAGTAGAAGCAATTATATAATCCTGCAATTTGCAAGGCCCATGACTTTATGTACAGAAAATTTTACAAAATGTGCTGCATAACAATATTAGAATATGTTTTCTGTGAAAGAAAAGGAGGAAAAAAAATACACATCAGCTGCAACAACAAAAACTTCTTATGATCAAATTTAATTTGTATTATATTGCATATGACATGTTCCCTTTGGAAATTCACAAAGCACTTTAACGTTTAAAGGATATCAGAAATAGTGTAGTCCAAAACCGATTTAACTTTGTTTATCCCTGGATTTTCTAAATGTGTTCAAACATAATACCCTTCCTCAATTTACTACCTAACACATTCCTGCAGAACTAATGTACTACAGAACTCACCTGGGAAATGTTCATTTAGATTCCTCTTCCCTTGGCCATCAGGAAAAGCATGTACCTTTGCAAATAGCTATTTCCCTATTTACAAATGATGTACTCTTACGAGATGCATGAAGGCTTGTTTTTAAACCAAGGGCTCAATATATTTTAATATCTCTAATAATAAAGCAAATGTCACATTTGCTGGATTAAATGAGAGTGAATAATTAAAATGATAGGGACTTGTACCATGAATAGAAAATAGATGTCTCCATATATGACATTTTTTTTCCTTAGAAGAAATTAGGTCTGTTGTTTCTACTGTGTAAGGCATTGCAAAAATATAATAAGTCAACAAAGAACACGTAGAAATGTAAGCAGCCCTATTATCTGAGTTGACAAGCTCCTGATCACTTCATTGGCCTCAGGTGATGTCATTCATTCATCTGTGTGTCCTGGGCCTGAGGGTCCCCTCAGACAGGTAATAAAAAGC